TTGCCAAGTTCGGCTCTCGTAACGGCCCAACCCAGTGCAGGTTTGCAGCTTGGCTGTAACCCGCTCGGATCTTGTGCGTCAGCTTTTTTTTTCTTTTTTTTTCTCCGGTGGAACTGAGCTCTTCAGACTTTTTTTTCTTCTTCTTCTTCTTCTCTCTTAGTGATATTGTTGGCGTCAGACTGTCTGTGACTGAGAGCGAGAAAGTAGGTGGATGAGAATCCCCGTGGTTAGAAATGTGCCACACGCTGCCGCGCTGCGCCGCAGCATCAGATAAAATGCTGCGGCGCATCTCCATCTGTCAATGTTTGGCTAACGACTTTGCAGTTGTTGTTTTTCCATGAAATAAATCAATAACGCAATTAAAATTACACGCGAATAAGTTTGATAGGGTTAGGATTGTTATCTCTTGCTTTTACCGCCTCCTGTCGTTTTCTTTGGCTTTTTCGCAGGTTGTGGAAAAAAAAAAAGTCTTTCCAATGCGGTTTCGCAAAATATCCTAATTTAGATGCTGTGGAAAATATCACATCGTCCCAGCTCGGGGGATGATTTTTTTTTAAATTGCCATTTTTATTCCAGTCTGCATATCTATGCGCAATCAGTGGAAACACAATTTATAAAATATTGGATTTGAAGTGAGTTCATGGTCCCCAGACTCTGATCAGCTCCTCAGCGACGTCTCAATGTGTTTTCTTCAGATCGAGTTCGTCACGGGAACCAAGAAAGGCACCAACCCTTCCAGCACAGCGGCCTCCACCACCAGCAGCAGCACCACCACCACCTCCACAGGTAACACTCGCTGCACAAAACTTCACCCCAGAAAATGAAACTGCTCTTAGATAAACTTTTGATGGTTCTAAGAATTTCCCCCCCCCCAGATTTTCAGTGGCAGTGGCTGTTTTACTCTTGTTTGTCTTTTTTTTTAAGCAAAAAACCCTAATATATTCCAGATTCAATGGTTTACACAAGTATTCATACCCCACAAAATTTCCTCTTGACACAGAAACATCTGCAGATAACTCAGTGTCAGCCATATTGTCTGACAAACCTCTGTGAACAGAAACTCTTTCTTCTGATGCTTTATTGGAGTCAGATCTGGGCTTTGACTGGGCCATTCTGAGGCGTGGAATCTGAACAATTCAGTTGTTGCTCTGTTTGTTGCAAACAGAGACATCTACTCTGACCAGCATCTCTGCTGCTCTTGCTGAGTAAAACCATCTCCACATCATAATGCTGCCACCACCGTGCTGCTTGCTGCATCTTGCAGATACTGTTTTTTCAGTTTTCCAGCACAGTTTGCTTTCCCTGCTGTTCATTTGTAAATGGATGCATTTTACTAATTTGGTGAATTCTGGGTTCAATTTAGGGCTGTTAGTTTTTTTTTTTTTTTTTTATAGATACAAACTGCTTCACTATTAGAGGAACACGGACAAAGTTTTGCGCACGTTTGTAATGGAAACCCATCTAGCGTCTCACAGCTACTCCTTCCTGCCAGCCTCTCTAATGAATAAAATGATGATTAATCAACTCTTAATGCAGCATTAGTTGTGATTCTGCTTTGTGTTTCGCTCCCGCCTGCAGACTCCCAGAAGAGGAAAAGCAAATGGGACTCGGCGATCCCCGTCACCCTGGCCCAGCCCACCCTCATCACCACCACGGCCACCCTTCCCGCCGTCGTGTCGGTAACCACCACGGCTAGCGGCACAAAGACCACTGTCATCTCTGCGGTGGGCACCATCTTAAAGAAAGCAAAGCAGTGAGCAGAAAAGGCCACGTGTTGGATCAAAGGAGCGACGGATCCAGGCGGATCCCGTTGGATCCCGTTGGACTGAGGTGTTGATGCTAAGAACCAACAGACCCTCTGCTGAACTTGGACTAATCAAAGCTCTGGACTGCCTTCTGGAGCCGGATGCACCACTGCATCCTAAAGCCAAAATTACACTTCTGTGGTGTCTGATTCACGCCTGGAAACTTAAAGCGATTTCAACGGAGCGCGTTCCTGAGCGGACTGGATAAAGCGAACGGAAAGCTGTTTATTTTTATATCTATAGTTGCAGTGAAATGCAGTCTGTTTCTCGGTTCTGTGCAAACCTTTTTTTATTCTTTTCTTTTTGCATTTTTGTTTGTGACATAGTGAACACCTTTCAGACAAGTTCATTGTTACACGTCGACATGTGTATTGATTGTACCAGGAATAAAAGGTGTCACCTTTTCAATTTGAATTTCTGTTTACCTCTCAGTTCATTTCCTAAAGAGTTTTTCTTTTTTTCCCCCTTAAGAACTGGATTATTGAAACTCAGGAAATCTCCTTACACTTCACAAAAGTTTGTAGCTCTTTAAGGTGTTTTGGAAGATGGAAGAAATGTTTTAGCTTGAGGTGACTAACATCCCTGGTGAGATTTTGGCACCGGGCTGTGAGGTTTATGCCCAGCTGAAGGCTCGGAGCTGAATCACTAATGACAGTCAGCTGAATCACACACACCTCTCTGGCTACAAGCTGTGACAGAAGCCATCCATTTGGCTCAAGCGCATGTTTGCGTTCTGCTTGTACCGCAACATGTTTTTGCAGAGTTCGGCATGCAGAACCACTGACAGGGAAAAAAAAAGAAGAGAAAAATTAAAAAACACTGAACCTCCGTCTCACACCAGCCGGGTACATTTCGCACAGGTGGAGCTCTTGACGTATTTATATAGATGCAACACACACACACACCCACGCACACACACCCTCACTTGCAACCGGATAAATATCTGCCTCGTTAAATTGTTTTACAATGAACACATTTATCTTTATTGATTTAAGGTGGAAGATTATCTAGTGAAGAAATGTACTGAATGTAAACAAGTCGCTCACATCAGGTTCTGATTATGTTGACTTCAGTAACAATACTGTTTAAAAGGTTTATATGGATAAAACTTTATTTTGAAAAATTAAAGGCAAAGTAACATGTATGTATATAAAACGGATTCCACTGTCAAGCATATTCGATACATTAGAATGTTATTGAAGAGTGAATCTTTCTGCAGATCCGTTAACGATGAATCAAACACAGACTGGAGTTGTCAAGCATTTGTGGCTGCAGCTGTTTCTTTTCATGAGAAGCTATGGAAGAAGGTACGCAGCACACAGAGAAACCAGCGCTGTGCGTGGCCCTGAACGCACCACCGTGTGAAACGTGGTGGCAGCATCAAGCTGTGGTGATGCAGTAACGATGCTGCCAGAGGAAGAGGTGTCGAGGCTGCTATAAACATAGAAATAGCAAAGTTCAAGGGTGAATAAATGATTTCTGCAAGGTACTCGCTGTATGTAAAGCAATATGGATGTTCATGTAGCGCATACGTAATGTTCCCTCTTTACGCTGTTAAAATCCGGGGGCAAAACGTTTGTTTGAACGTCATAAACCGGATTGACGGTGTAAGAAGCGGCTCTCCCGCCGCTCTAAAGTCCGTCTGAGACGTCTCCCCTGCCGGCGCGACGTCTCCCGGCCTTTAATCATCCTCAGCGGAGGTGTTCCGGTCAGCGAGCCTCACCCAGATCAAGGCTCGAGCCGAACCTGTCCGGAAAGAGCCGATCACAGCTTTCACTGTCAACACCGCCCGAGACGTTCCCTTTCTGAGTTTACATGAGAACGTTCCCTATCTGAGTTTACAGGAGAACGTTCCCTTTCTGAGTTTACATGAGAACGTTCCCTATCTGAGTTTACAGGAGAACGTTCCCGTTCTGAGTTTACATGAGAACGTTCCCTATCTGAGTTTACATGAGAACGTTCCCTTTCTGAGTTTACATGAGAACGTTCCCTATCTGAGTTTACAGGAGAACGTTCCCGTTCTGAGTTTACAGGAGAACGTTCCCGTTCTGAGTTTACAGGAGAACGTTCCTGCTGTCGAGCACCGGCAGCACAATGTTGAATGAACAGGTAGGGGGGTTTCTACTCGTTTTAGTCCTTTGTTTTGATAGAAATATACAGAACTACGTCATAAGGCCCTCATTAGGTTCCCACTGAATAAAGCCGGTGAAGCGCAAAGCCTCTTTCTGGGAGAAATGGGAGGTGGAGTCATGTCTCAAAGCTGATGCTACTGTTTCTACCCTGATTCAACTTTTTTTTTTTTTTTTAAATCTTTGGACTCTAATCCGGTCATTTTTTGTTATTTTAAGTTTTAAAACTTTTTCTTGTACAGCCTCTGTGCAGGCTGAGTTATTCTCTCAGCAATGAGAATAACTTCTGTTATTAGTTCACCTAATGCTCAAACAAATATGTGTTGTGTGTTTGTTTGTGTGACTGTTGGAATCAGGGGTTTGTAGCTGGATCACAAACGGATGGAGCGGGCGCAGGGCCGGATTTAAGAGGATTTTGGCCCTGGGGCTTGAGCCGGTTTTGGTGTCCTTTCCCAAAAAAAAACAAAACAAAAAAAAACACGTTTCTCTCTAAATTGCAATAATTTGACAGTTGTAGGCATATATGAGCTACATATAAATAAAAATTTGATTTATTCAGAAAATCTTACACTGAATAGTGTTTATCTATTTCTGCTTGTTTGTTGTTGTTTTTTTTTCTTTAGCATAAATGTGAGTTGTATTATTGGTGGGATAAAAATATACATATTTACCAAGTCCAGCCTAAGCTGGGGGAACCACAGATTGTCTTTCAGTGGATGTGAAAGTGTTGTTCCTTTTTTTTTAACTGCTTTGCCGTTCAAGTGTCAGCCCAGTCCTTCAGACAGAAGGGAGGCGTCGCCACTAAAGACGTTTTGTTCCCCTGCAGTGAGAGTCCTCCATTGTGCGTCCAACCGGCTCTGGTTGCTAGGAGCGCGGCCGTCCAGTGTGGCATGTACAGTACAGAGGAACAGAGCTCCTTTCACCTCAGAGCCATTTAAACCACTCGTCAACAATGCCGTGCAAGTGAGAGACTCGCCGGGCGATTTTTGCGTGTTCACTCTCTCAGAATCACTCAAACTTTTACCGCTTTTATTTCAAACAGACAATTGACCTAAATACGCGTTAATTAGAGTGGAATCCATCTTGGTGCAACAGAAGATGGTCGTCTACAGTCTATTGTCGTTTCTGCTGTGACCAGGTACAGCTCAAACATCAGAGGTCAGAGGTCACAGCGGTCCAGTTAAGAAGCCTGAATTTCATCACGGCAACGCCCGGAAATATTATTCGTAATATGCCTTATCAATGTCATTTCAAGTTTTGCTCTCGACAAGCAAACACCAATTTGAATTTGTTCAGTTTGGAGTTGCAGGATTGATTTATGACACTTATGCCCACGTCTTTTCGGGGAGAAACATTTCAACGTATAAATTTTATTTAGCTAAATTAATATTCAAGTATGAAACTTAAATATATGTATAAAAAAAAAACCAAATCTTTGTTAGTTTTAAATACCAACGCAGGTCGGTTTGGTGAGTTGTCCAACACTTCAACTGTGTGAACAGAAAAGGTGGTTGAGCTCCATTGTGCGAGGCTGTTGGAGCACAATTCAACACGGCTCACTGAAGGATTCAGTGTCCTGGTCACGGCGCCGTGTGGGCCTGCCTGCACAGGAACGCAGATCCTCCCGCCTGCTCACTCGCAACTCTGTTACTAAAAGAAATAAGTTGCATCATGAAATAAGAGCAAAAAGAAAAGAAAAAAAAGTGTGACAATCCTTCTCCTAGTGTTAAATATTTGCCAAGAAGAAAATGTACCCGTTAGCAGGAGAACATGGTTGAGTAAACACGAGTCACTAAACAGTTTCCCATAGCCTGCAGGCAGTGTTCTTCAATGTGCGCCACTCCCTGGAGATTGGGAGGAGGCCTGCAGGAGGGGCCTGCTTCCAGAATCTCAAGCCCACACAGGTGAACTCCTGTTGGGGAGGAATGCAGTGAGGGAGAGGGGTGAGGGGTGCTTGACACATGGAGGTGTGGAGCTTTAAGCTGCAGCAGGGTGGGGAACAGACACAGACAGGCCGGCGGATGTGACTTAACTCTCTTCCTGACATCAGCGTACCTGGACAGGGACAGGGACTGGTGCGTGGGTGTGTACGCTGAAGCAAAAAGGATCGCGTCCCACCACTCCCACTGACATTCAGGCGGAGTCTCAGAGTCGCTCGGATCTCTCCTGCAGACGCGCTCTCTTCGCTGAGTGCAAGAGCAGGCAAGTAAATAATTGACCTTTGCTGCACCTTACAAGGAGAGGCACAAGAAAACACAAAGAGAAGAGACGCAACTATTATTTTTTCCTTTTTCTTTTTGGAGGCGACTTTGAACTTGGACACTGGGACAGAGATTTTATTTAACCCAGGTGGATACTTGGCAAAAGAGGAAATACTTTTCTTTCTTCCACACCGTCGGACTTTTGGACTTGGACTGTGAGCCGACGCTCCCGGGAGGTTTGTTTGATCAGCAATCTCTTTGTTTTCACCCACAACCTTTTTAATTACTTCGCTGTTTTCACTTCTGGGTGCCGCGAAAGTGACTTGTCTGTGTGCTGCGACCTTTTGGGCGAGGTGAATGGCTATAAAATGACTGCTTTATGTAACTTAGTGTTACACTGAACAGTTCAATAACATGCAAGCTCAAAACAAAGAGCCCAAGATTGTAAGTGGCCCGAGGGAGGTTTTTTTTTTTTTTTTGGAGGGGCCCCACTTTCAGATAAACTCATCTCCTTCTCAAACTTCTCAGCACTACCATTCTGCAAAAACACAAAATCTCACCAAGTGATTTTGGAGCTTGTTTAAGTCAATAATTCCTTAATATTGAAGAAAACGCATTACTGTAGTTATAAGTGAAATAATCTGAGCTCCTATTTCTTGCTGAAAAGTTACTTGCAAGTTAGTTTTGTCTTACTTGAAGAGAACTAAAATATTTCCACCAGAAACTAGACCAAAGTTACTTTTAGATTTTGTGTTTTTGCACTGTAATCTTATCTTTTTTGGGCGTTTAGGCAGCTGGCTTACGTATAATTTAACAGTCAAGCCAGCCACATTAATCACTTCATAGCATTTTCAAAAAACAAACAAAAAAAGACTTGCTTTGCTTCTGAAACTTGCTCGTTTGGTTTGTCGGTGATACGTTGTGTGCGTCTTTTTTTTTTAGTAAAGACTCGTTTCGGTCTGGAAAGAAGCGCAATCACTTCCACTAGGTTGCAGGTATGCAACAATATTTGCAGTCACAATGTGCATGAAATGTGCCTCCAGCATCATCAAATTATCAATGCTCAGAAAACTATTCATCTTTTTAACGTATAACCGACATTTTTATATGTGTTGATTTTTTAAAAATCTCGAGTTGTAGAATTTAAATGAAAAATCCCCGTATCTAAAATATTTGAGTCTATATTCTGTGTAAGAAGTGAATTGTTTTTGGGGATCCCTGCTGACCATTAGCACCTTAGTTTGCTTGTACCTTGGGGTGGCTGTTTTATTTTTGTAATGACTTTTCTAAACTCCTTGCATAGTTTTAGCTTCACCCCCGGTTCACATTCACTAAAGGAAAGTTGTTACATTTTTAGGCAATAAATGTTTTTCTTAAGCAGAGGAATTACAATATTGGCATCATTTAATATATCTGTAATATTGCATGAAAGTGATTAAATCTGTAGACCGTGTCAATTCTTTTTCATCTGATTAATCAAATAATTGATCTCTAAATTCATCGTTACTTGAAACCCTAGACTAGCAGGATAATTAGAAGTGATTTAATCCTATTGGTTGTTCTTGTTGTTTTCTTTTGCCCATTTTGTATATAAGACAACATGAATCTCTAGGACCACTGGGATTTTTATCTTTGTTGTTGCCAGAGTTTGACCCCGCCACCTGTCTTAAAGGTCGACGCCCTCCTGCCGCTCCCCTTTCCCTTTCTCCTTAAGCTGATGGGGTTAGTGGGGTCCGACCCACAACCACTGGTGGTATGTCCACCTGGCAGGCATGTTTTTGTCTGAAGGGAAGCTTAGAGCTCAGTGAAACGTCTCCTCTTTTGGTGCCAGAGAAGCTTTCAGAACAAAGAGAAGCAGCACGAGCCACTGGAGCCTGTAATTTGGGTCAGAAGCTCGTCTGCGATTGTCCTCCCGAGTGGGAGCGGAACATAAAGCGCCGGTTTGCTCCTATCTACTGCAGAAGAAGAGGCGGTTTGTCGTCCTGACCCGTCTCTGCTGCTCGGTGATTTATGAGACACCTTCTCTCCCTCTCCCCTCGCGCACACACACCTGGAGGCTGCTCTCCTTCACAGAGAGGCGCAAACCCGCCTTTCCCATGTGCTCCCAGGCTGTGTTTGTAACTCCAGCAGGTCGTTCTCTCGCCTCGTGGGGAAATTCTTTCCTCTCGAGTTGACGCAAATCATCCATTTGTTTCCCCGCTGCCCACTGAGACAATTACAGACCTCTCCGTACCACACAGCAGCCTTTGTTCGCTCCACAACTCCTGCGTTTGCCTCTGTTTGTTTGTCAGATTGTCCTGCATCCAAGATTCCTGCAGGAAATTATAATGCGGTTTCATAGCACACACTGCAGCGCCGCGTGGAACATTTCCAGATCCCGCCCTGCGCCGGTTGTGTCCCGTCCCGACCGCACCGCATCGTGTCCCAACTGGCTCTGCGATTATACAGCTATACCAAACGGGACGGCAGGTTAAAACTGGATGAGAAGCGTCCGTAATCTCCATTATCAACTCATGTAACATGCCAATTGGGTGTGGATTATTTCCTGAAATTCTACAGCTTCTGGTTATGCACTTTTGTAGTGGAGCTGAAATGAACTCTGACTATGAAAGTATCACTTTACCCGACAGCCTTATTTTTAAGTTTCTGTTTGACTTCTTTGAATCCAGGTGCAAGAACAGAAAACTGAAACACCAAACGCGTCACTCTGCAAAAACCACAAACCTTTTTGGTCCAGTTTCTAGTTTGGGTATCTTAGTACACTTGAAATAAGACAACACTAACTTACAAGGAACATGTCAGCAAGCTATAGGAGCTTGTTTTAAATAAATAATAAAAAGCGCTGGTTCAACTGATTATTTCATGCTTAACAAAACCTGTTATAAGTGAACTAAGCAGCCAGGGGATCCAGGACTTTTGCATCAGTATTTACCTGCTATGTCTTGCCCATAAGTTAGTTTTGACTGTAGATCTCTACTTCGGTCCTTATTCCGATGTAATCACAGTCTTTTAACTCATCTTTAACTACACGGCGAAACGGCTTCATTCTGAGACTGTGAGCAAATCTTACTGTCGATTGAATTTGCCTGCATTATTTCCCAGGCTTGGATTAGTGTTGAATAAAAGAACAGTGAGTGTGGGAATGGGATATTCCGTTCTATTATTTGAAAAATTACCAATCCAAACGTGTGTAGTAGATTAAAAAGCTGATGTTTATTTCAGAGTAATATCTGTTTAAATCACCGCCAGCTCAGTTTTTAGCAAAAAGAATCAAATCAATAAAGATATTGAAAAAGTCACAATTAGATTTTCTTTTTTAAATCGAGAATAAAATAATGCAGTGAAAGTCTTAATATTAAGAAATTTTACATTTTACATACAGTTTGAGTTCAGAAGAGTGCGGCCGTTCAGGCAGGAAAATGTGTTGGCACAGATTGTACAGCTGATGTCTCAAACAGGTGAGGCGGCTGCAGCTTGTGTTGAACTTTGTGTTTGTTGTGTTTTGCAGGGGCGAGATGGAGAGCTGGTGGTTACGCAGCCTGGCAGGACTCGGCCTGCTAGCCGCCCTGCTGACCTGCTGCTCTGCTGAAGGTGAAAATCAGAATGGATTGATTGTGACTTTTTAAACAAGTTCAAGTTAAAAAATATTGGATCTAATAGTAGGATCTAGTTGGATGCATCGACTGATTCATTCAACAGTATTTTGGGCAAAACCAAGGAGCAATTCTTTTCACTTTGGATTTCAAAAACCAAACTCATCTCTGCAGAATAAATTTGCCCTGATGACTCCAGTCTGCAGTATATGCATGACATCAATGACTCAGACCAAGAAAATGCTAAGAATACCTTTGATGTGTTTGTAAGAAGCTAATTAATGTGTAATGGATGCTTTAAAAGGTCCTAAGTTATCCAATTGTTTAATGTTTGAATCCCCTTTAGCTGGGCTTCAGTAAATAAATGGATGAATTTATATAAAATGGGACAACATAAAACATACATTAGCCACTTAAGGAGAGATGTACTGCACCAGGTTATAGCCACAAATGCTAATTTCTTCCCACAGTCCCCAAAACATGCAGTAACATTAAAGTTCAACATGTAAACATGTTCAACATGCAAAACAATCAGCAATGGACATCATTCAATTGAAATCCTTCAAACTTTTGACAACTTTAGCATACATATCCATGAAAATCAACTACAGGTCATGCAAAATGTTATTGAGATCAGCAAAAGTAAATCCCAAAAGAGTTGATCTCTGAGAATATTTCTACTTGGTTTTTTCTTTTCTTTTTGTTTTTTTGTTGTTGTTTGTTTGTTTTTTAGCATTTTCGTTTAGCATTTGTTCTCAGTTAGCACTCACTACAATATCATCAGTGTTACCACGTATACCCTAACGATGCTTCATGAGATGAACTCACTCTGTCCCAAACAGTGAACTCCTGCCTCGACGCCAAGTCCGGTTCCTGCTCAGACTGTCTGCAGGCCGGGGTGGGATGCGCGTACTGCAGCGAAGAGGTGAGAGCAGAAAGCATCAGGAGGCTCATTTCACGCCTTCTTCTCCTCCCTTAATGAGACGTCAGAAGAAAAGATGTCTTTTGCAGCATTTCTAAACGGAAATGAGATGGAAAGACTTCAAAACGTTTCGCTATTCATCGTTTCTGCATCAGAAACGTTGTATTAGAATTAGAGGTGTTGAATTAGAGGCAAGGGAAAGCAAAACTAAGAAATGAAAAATGGAAAAAGTAGAATTAGCATAAAAAATAAAGTACATTTTATTTATCCTTAACCTTTCTTGCAGTATTAAATCCATTTAATTTTGTTTGATTAAATCATGAAATCATTTTGTTTTCTTTAAATTCGAGTGTTTTGGCAACCAGACATATTTGCTTAAAACAATGTCAACCAGCAGATGACGAAACCATAAAATGGATTTTACTGGACCTTAGATTTGTCTACAGTAGAACCAAAAATGCATGTTACTCTGTTCTAAATCCGTACAAAGCTCAACATTTTCCTTTTTTTGTGAGATCTGAACCTTCTTGGACCAGTCTATGATTTTTAAAACAGAGTCCGCAATCTATTTAAACTTCAAATTTTGGCTTCATATTTCAGGAGTTTGGCTTTCCTCGCTGTGACCTGCATGAGAAAATCCTCGCTCACGGCTGCAGCGCTGCATATGTCATCAAAGCTACCAGCAACCATGCCATAGTGCAAGTACGTTTTTCCTCTGTCATGATTCTCATCCAATTGTTCCGTCATCCTTTCAAATTGCGTTCCCGTAATTATTTTGTGTTGAATTGTTGACTCTTTTTTCTCTCTCTCTCTCTCTCTGTCTTTATCTCTCTCTCTCTCCGTTTGTGCAGAACGAAGCCATTAATATGAACCTTCAGCGGTCTCAGGTGTCGCCCCAGCAAGTCAGCATGACCTTTCTGCCTGGAGAGACCAAAGAGCTGGACGTGAATGTGTTTGCTCCAACTAAAGGCCCGTTGGACCTTTACATTCTCATGGACTTCTCAAACTCCATGAAGGACGATTTGGACAACCTGAAGAAAATGGGCAACAAGCTGGGTGAGCGCTTTTGGACGTGACGTGTTGCAATTCCTGTGAGGTAATCTGCAGAAAACAAAAAAAAAGAAGAAGAAAGAAAATAAAACTGATGGTGTGTTTTGCCTGTAGCCACGGTGGTGCAAGAAATTTCAAGTGACTACACCATTGGGTTTGGAAAATTTGTGGACAAAGTAATTGAGCCCCAGACTGACATGAGACCTGACAAGTAAGAATTAAAAAAAACGCTGCTGGATGCAGAACCAGTGAATGCGCATGCTTCATTCTAACTTTGCTTCCTCCTCCTGTTCTCAGGCTCAGACAGCCGTGGCCCGACAGCGACTCTCCTTTCTCTTTCAAAAATGTCATCCCACTGACCAACAATGTGGACAACTTCACAGGAGAGCTCCAAAAGGAGAGAATATCTGGCAACCTGGACGCCCCCGAAGGAGGATTTGATGCCATTCTGCAGGCAGCAGTGTGTAAGGTTAGTTAGACCAGGTGATTGCTTGGCAAGTCACACATGAGAGTGACTTGAGTCAAGTTCCAAATCCTAAGTTTTAAATTATGAGTCACGAAAAAGTCACTCAAGGGCTGCAGAGTGGTGCAGTTGGAATGGTAAAATCACCATTGCAAAAGTTTTCCCTTTCTGACATTCGGTGGAAGTTCCTTCATGTTCCGTTTTCCTGCCACGTATTCTCACTCTTTTTGTTTTGTATCCATTTTCCAAAGGAGATCGGCTGGCGCGATGGCAGCACTCACCTCTTGGTTTTCTCCACTGAGTCAGCCTTTCACTACGAGGCTGACGGCGCCAACGTGCTGGCGGGAATCCTGCCGCGCAACGACGAGCTTTGTCACCTGGACGAAGAGGGAGAATACATTCAGGCTACAAAGCAGGATTATCCTTCGATACCTACTCTGGTCCGTCTGCTGGGAAAACACAACATCATCCCCATATTCGCCGTCACCAACTACTCCTTCATGTACTACAGTGTAAGAACGCCACAGCTGCTCAACTCTTCCCCTCTCCTTTTCGGTTTAGAGGATCCAATATGTTCTTTTGTTCTGACTGCAGAAATTGAAAGAATATTTCCCCATTGCTGAGATCGGTGTGCTTCAAGAGGATTCATCCAACATCTTGGACATCATGCGGGATGCCTTTCTGGTAAATGTTTGCACCTTTGAAAGATTTAAGGGAAAAATGTCGGCAGCAAATGTCTCAAGGTTGATCTTATCGTTTTGTTTTGTTTTCTAGAGTATCCAGTCTAAGATGAGCATCCGTGCAGAGAACAGACCTAAGGCTTTTGGAGCTCAGTTTATGGATAAAAGTAATACAGTAGTCAATTATGGAGCCTTTAACTTCAAGCCTGGAGAAATTGTAAGTGTTACACTGAAACACATAAAAGTCTGAAACAAGCGACAAAATTGTAAAGTGGGAGAAAAACGATGAAGTAAAGGAGAGCCACTTTTTGCTGTATTTACAGTTTGTCTGCAGGACAATAAATGGTCAGCCATGTCTGAGTTCAGGCTCACTGTTAGTTTCTCCACACACACGCACACGCACACACACACACACACACACACACACACACACACACACACACACACACACACGCACGCACACACACAGCTTTATAGATTTAGACCAAATAGTTCAGTTTTGATTTCACCTGAACAGATTTGCTGTGTCCCCACAAATGACTTGTGTTAAATGTTTTGGAGCAAATTCGGCCAACATGCACAGCTCTACTACTGATGTGGCTCGATTCTAAGATTCAGAGAAATCTCTTGTAAGGAAGACGCTGACAAGATTCTCTTTTTGTGTGTTTGTCTGTGCTCACTAGGGCAAGTTCAAGGTAAAACTCACAGCCCAACAAATGCTCGATGGACAGCCTGTCTGCAAAGTGGATCCAGAAGACCAGGAAGGCACGATCAAAGTAAAACCGACGACCTTCAGTGCCGCCGTCGATGTGAAAGCCTCCATTCTGTGTGAAACCTGTGACTGCGAGAAGGTTTGTTGAACCCATCTGAAGTGAAGCACCAAAACGTTCCTTCAAGGTAATTTTCCTACAAAAGACTCATAAGATTTTGCCTTTTCCTGTCTCTTCTTCAGACACCCATTCCAAAAGCTAAGAGGTGCAACGGCAACGGAAAGCTGGTGTGTGGAAAGTGTCTCTGTGACGATGGCTGGTGAGACTTTGCGGGATTATGTTTCGCAACATTCATATGTTTTTTTCCTTCTCTTTGGTATTGTAAGATTTCTGTCAAATGAGGCAAAGCCACTCAGCAATGTCTTTGCTATTTGTGCCAGGGCGGGCGCCTTCTGCAACTGCTCAAAAACCTCCGGCTTGAGCAAGGACCAGTGCATCGGGCCTGGCATGACAGAGTCCTGCTCGGGCCGTGGAGACTGTCAGGCATGTGGGACCTGCGTGTGCTACAATCCGGACCAGTACGAAGGACCCTACTGCCAGTACGACAAGACCCAGTGTCAACGAGTCGCAGGCATCCTTTGCAACGGTGCGTTTGTTGAAGGGACACGTCAAATCAACATATTATTCTGAACCTCCAGAAGTACTGCCACTCCTGCCTTATTTAAGCTTTAAAGTATTTGGGTTTTTCGAAATGATCCTGGACGCATTGTCTTCCGGACTCAGATCTTTGCCCAATGAACTTGGAAGTGATTTAAGCTTTCACAAAGAACACACAGCTACAGAGTTGTAAAAGCTCTCTGGCTTCCCTCCTGTCAGATCGCGGCTCCTGCGTGATGGGCCGCTGTGCTTGTTCAGAGGGCTGGGAGGGAGCCGCCTGCGAGTGCTCCAAAAGCAACGAAACCTGCCTGGACAACAAAGGGGTGAGCAGAGCCAGCGGTTCGCGTTCCTGTCGGGCCGGCCGACGGGCGGACGATGCCTGATCCCGTCTGTGTGCATTTCAGAATATTTGCGGTGGCCGAGGCAAATGCGTCTGCGGCAGCTGTCAGTGCTCAGACTCCGAGATCGCGTTGACTGCGACCTGTGAGCCAAACTTCGAGGTGAGTTAATTGTTCAAGCTAAAATCTCAGCTGCTCCCAACACCATATGTGTTGAGGTTTCAAGCCTTTCATGTCTTATCATCGTTTGAACTGTGCATCTAGTTCTCACTGGGTGCGTGCGAGGAGACAAGGCGGTGCGTTCAATGTCAAGCATGGAAGACAGGCGAAAGGAAGGACACAGCAGAGTGCGACAAGTGTCCCTTTAAAGTCATCATGGTGGACGAGCTGAAAGAACGTAAGCTTATGTGAGAAAAGCACTGTGATTGTTGTGAATGTAAAAAGTCCTAACTGTTGATGTTTTTTTTGATTTTGTTTTCAGGGGGGGAAGTGCATGACTACTGCAGTTTCCTCGATGAGGACGACGACTGCACGTACGAGTACACGGTCGACACCAGTAAAGATCCGACAAACACCGAGCTGCTGGTTGAGGTGCTCAAAAAGAGAGGTGAGCTGCAAAGCATGCAAAATACACACGTTGTTCACGAGCTGCACTTCCATGACAAATGTGCACAAAACTTTGACAGTATTCCTCTAATTATGAAAGAAGGCAATTCTGCATTGGCAGTGTTTCCTTTATACAGGAAAATGCCATCAAAATCACAACTTCATTTTTTCCGCCAATAGTAACATTTTCATTTTTCCTGATAGTTGCCTCAAGATAATGAGTTTATGTCTGGGAAACAAAAACATCATATTTCGAGACAGCCAATGGGAGACCGGCTCGTTATGTTGATAAAACCAGTTGATAAAAACCCCTCATAATGTCTTTTGTTGTGAAAAGATATCTCTGCTCCAGAGTGTGATTTGATATAAACGTGTATTAAACCTTTTCAGACTGTCCAGCGGCTAGTCTGCTGTGGCTGCTGCCGCTCATCCTCTTCCTCCTGTTGCTGCTGGCGCTGCTGCTGCTCTGCTGCTGGAAGTACTGTGCCTGCTGCGCCTCCTGCTGGCAGGTAAAAGCACTCACACCTGCACAAATCAAAGCTCGACCTTCTCGAATTTTCGTTAAACTTAAGAGTTTTGTCATTTTTCTCGATGCAGAGCTGTCTCGCTTTGTTGCCGTGCTGCGCTGGAGGTAAATATTTAGCATCACATGGAGCAGCATTAGCAACACATGGAGTAGCATTAGCAACACATGGAGTAGCATTAGCATCACATGGAGTAGCATTAGCATCACATGGAGTAGCATTAGCAACACATGGAGTAGCATTAGCATCACATGGAGTAACATTAGCAACACATGGAGTAGCATTAGCAACACATGGAGTGGCATTAGCATCACATGGAGTAGCATTAGCAACACATGGAGTGGCATTAGCATCACATGGAGTAGCATTAGCATCACATGGAGTAGCATTAACAACACATGGAGTAGCATTAGCAACACATGGAGTGGCATTAGCATCACATGGAGTAGCATTAGCAACACATGGAGTGGCATTGCTTTTTCCATCCCATGTGATGAACCTTTGCGGGTCTCTTCTTGATTTAGGTCGCATGGTTGGCTTTAAGGAAGACGAGTATTTGCTCCGTCAGTCTCAGCTGACCTCAAACCACTTGAACACGCCGATGGTGAGGACTGGTCCACCGAAAGGAACCGACGTGGTTCGCTGGATGGTCAAAGACAACGTGCACCGCGCACCCAATCACCCACGGGAGGTGATGCAACCAAACCCGGATGAAATGAGTAAGCCCATGATGGATTTTAAAAGGAAAATTGTAGAGCGTATATAACATAAGAACCTCCAGCTATTTTCGTTTTTTTGTGTGTGTTCTTCATTTGTTTGCAGTCCAGTTCCCGGTTTCCCTCCGACTAAACAGGTTGTTCTCTGAGAACCTGTCTCGCCCCGAATCAAAAGACGCTGAGCAACTCCGTCAAGAAGTGGCTGATAACGTGAGTTGGGTTTTGGATGCTGGTGGGCTCAAGTTCTGACTGTCAGTGATTACTTCCTGGTTCTGTGTTGCAGCTGAACGGGGTGTACAAGCAGATTCCCGAGGCACAGAAAGTGCAACACACTTTATTCAGGTAACATATTTTTGCTGTCAACAAGATGCTGGGACTTTAAAAAAAATATTTCTCTTAAAGAATATTGGCTGAGCGATATGGCTGAAAAACGTATCACAATATAAGCTTTTCATATCAGTCGATATTGATGATTATTGATTTTCTTTTTTTAAATATACGAAACAAACTGCCCACTTACAGTTTCCTCTCAAGATGTTCTGATTTTCTGTCTTCACTCCCTGCCGTTTTTTATTTTAAAACGGTTATGAGTCACTCAACAGGTTGTTGCTAGGTAACCAAAGAGTGAGTGAGTTGCTAGGTAACCAAATAGGAAGTGAGTTAGTTGATGCCACCAACTTTACTTAACTCAGTGCTTCTCAATTATTTTCCGTTACGCCCCCCCTAGCAAGAAGAAAACTATTTGCGCCCCCCACTCCCCACCGTGACTATCCATCTCTGCATAACATTTTTTCCTTATTAACATTTTTTTCGCTGAAAAAACTCTAGCGGCTTATCGGCGTGATTGGGATGTAACGTATTTAAGTGACGCGCTAATTTATTTGGCTTCATGCTGTCCGCTGCGAGCATTTTTAGACACAGCAAACACACCGGTCTTCCTCTTCTCCAACTGTAGTCACAGTGAAGCCAAGCGCTAAATACGCTTCGTCGTATTTCCTCTTCTTAGCTTTCGGTTGACTTTCTGTTGTCTCATTATCTTTGTCTCTCTCCGCTTTTCTTTTCATCCCTGTGAAAAACTTTTTCATGTTGGGGGTTGTTGAATAACGGAGGCCACAGACAGAACGCAGTCGGAGCTTTTTGTTGACTTAACACTGCTAACCAAGGTAAACCTGTTGTCTTGTAAGTCGTAAAATGTTGCACTGTCGCAAACGTGACAGAAGTAACAATGAGAGCGCCACTGCCGCCTACTGTGCGCAATTACACTTTATACTAGTACGGCCAAAAAAAAGCCTGTTCCCCAGGATCACACGCCCCCCCAGGTATCGCACTGCGCCCCCCAAAGGGGGCCCGCCCCACTATTTGAGAAGCACTGACTTAACTGAAGCTTTTCCTCTGCCTGCATTTCCCAGAATGCTGTGTGGTTCTGGATCAGAGTTCTGCTAAATAATATTATATTCTATTGGACGTATTTACTAATAATACTGATCACGTATCAGCCATTATGTGTATTGCTATTGACTTATTGCCAGTCCTATCTACATTAAGATAAAGTATCTCTAGTCATAAATTGACATGGATGTGCTTTTTTACAGACAGCAGAAAAATGCTGGAAAAAGGTAAAAAATAAAAAAATTAAGCTTACTTTCAATTTTGTCATGATTTTTAGGTGGTTTTTATTCTGATATCTCTGAGTCATCTAATCTCCTCAGGAGCAACTACACCATCATGGACACTGTGCTGTCAGCTCCCCGTAGAGCCTTCCCAGACATAGTGAAACTTACCGAGAAGAACGTCCAGTCCGGAAACTTTGGGGACCTCAAAGTGGTCCCAGGATACTACACTGTGGCCACGGACAGAGGTGTGTGGCCAGCATTCGTGCCTGTGTCTGGGCGTGACACCATCAGGGAGCTAATGGCCTGCAGCCCTGAAAAAGTTTTCATATTCACCCCGCTTTGTCAAGTTGCAGCCACAAAATTCAATGGAGAAAACTATTATCAGGTTTTATGATAACAGATCAAATTCTGTTGGTTAGTAATACAACTGATAAAAGCTAAAAGTTTTTTATTATTGAAGGTGTAATCTTAGATGAAATATTTAATCTATGCTGTTGCTTTGTACTGGTATATCGTATGCATTGGGTAAAAATAAGTATTATTTCATAGTAAACATATTTCTAAAGGTGTTATTTCATGAAATTTTCACTAGGTGTCGGTAGCAACGCAAGTAATCTGTGTATAGAAAGAAACCAAAACAAATAAGTTATGTGTAGTATTGCGAAATGACTCAGGTAAAAAGTATTGAACAGATGCAGAAAGGGAGGTGATGGGAAGCCAAGACACCAAATGAAATCCATCCATGATCAGAAAGCCATCCTTCTTCTTCCTCTTTGTCTTAATTGATGGCTGGCAAACAACTAAAGGAAGCATTACCACCACCAACTGAGAAGGAAAACAAAACAAAACTAGATCCTGCTATACAATTTGCACTATATTAAGAAATAAAATACAGCCTTCAGCATCTACTTCTCACAAAGCCATCCTGCTCCTTGTCAATACAACTGACTATTTGTTTTATTTATTGGTCCAGTCCAATAGAAAGGTGCAGTTCATCTTTAGTGAATCCATTACTCCCCTGCAGAGGCTGCGGGAGCCGTGGAGTTCCAGGAGGACGTGGAGTTGGTGGACGTTCATGTGCCGCTGTTTGTCAAGGACGACGACGATGACAAGAAGCAGTTAAAAGTGGAGGCCAGGGACGTGCCGCTGGGCATCGCAAAGATTGCAAAGCGTTTCGTTAACATAACCATCATCAAAGAGCACGGTGAGAAATTTCCATCTGAAAACTGGTCGTAATGGAATGAAAAATTTGAATTTTGTTGCGTATGGATAGCTTTTATCGAATCTCCACCTCTGTCATTGCAGCGACAAGCATCTTCTCCTTCCTCCAACCAAAATACACGTACAGCAGAAAGGATGGTGTGGCACATATCCCCATCACCAGAGAGATCATCGAGGATGGACGCACACAGGTCACCTACAGCACTCAAGATGTCACTGCCAAGAACAAGAAGGTAAGAAGATGTGTGTTGCCTGTATTGTGTTGGCATAATGTATGAAATCCTATGCAGGACTGGCACATAGAGTACAGCCTGGTCGTACGAACCACCACCAAGAGTTCTTCCTTCTTGGGTTTCAGGACTACATGGGTGTACAAGGAGACTTGTCCTACGCTCTGGGTGAGACTCAAAAGATCGTTCCTGTCCGTTTGCTCGAGCTGAGTGAGAAAGATGGCTTCTTGGAAGACAAACCCATCAAGCAGTTTGTTATGGACCTCAGTAACCCACGCCAAGGTGCCAAGCTGGGACGATACCCAAGAACCACGGTCACCATCGCAGACGCACTAGGTGAATGATAGGAGAAGTGTTTGGACTACGTCTTGACAATTCCGCCATTGTTATTGATTCCAATTGTTTTACGTCTTTTTCTTCGTCTGCTTAAGAACCGAGTGTGATGATGTTCAAGAAAGGTAGCCAGAACTTCAGCACCTTAGATCAGACCTACTCCATACCGGTCGTACGCTCCCACAACGAAGACAGCCCCGCCACAGTCAAATGGCGCACCAAGAAGTCCCAACGCTTTGACCTTTCCGGTTCTCTGAAGTTTGCTCCGGGAGAAACGGAGAAACATATAGAGATCGAATCCGTCCCCGGCTCAGCCCAGCCCGAAACCTTCCAGGTGGAGCTGTACGATCCCAGCACCAATGGCATTGTTGGTGAAAGGAAGAACACCGTTGTCAATATCACAGAAGGTGATATGAGAAGACCTTTCATATGATCTTTATTCCATAAAAACATTGCATCAGTTCTTGTTCTTCTCAAAAGTATTCATACCCCTTAAAAGATATTGTTTCACATTTCAATGTATTTTATTGGGTTTATACTTGATAAAACAGCAAAAAAGAAAATATATAGTTTTAACTTTCTTTTTGAATGGGAGTTCTTATGCAAAATTTGAATTTTGGACATTTTTCTACTTCCATTTGGGTTTCTACTGCTTCTGAAAACAGTCCAAGAGCTTAAAAACAGGTGGTTTTTGGCAATAAGTAAATGTTTTTTAGTGTCTGAAAAAATGAACCATTTCAAAAATTTGGCAATTATTGACTCACAATCAAGGGATTCTACCTAGCAACCCAAGCTGATCTCCAGCACATTTGGTCAGCTGGTTGTACTGCTGTATTCACTGTACAATGGCTGCTGGAAAAAAAAAAGTTGTGGTTTTTCTTTAAACAAATGCAGGCCACACTGATTTTTTCCCCCTGAAAAATATAAACAATGTATAATTTCCTTTTATTTCACAATTATTCTCAAATTTATGTCGGTCTGTCACATAAAATTCCAATAATCTGGAAAACTTCAAGGAGTATAAAAACTTTTACAATTCACTGAATTCAACTAATGTCCCCTTTTTTAGATTCTGTACAGTAATCCGTGTTTCTTTTATTTCTCTGGATATTATTTTGTTCCTCAAGAACCAAGAGGTCCAGAAATTGCTCAGTTGCAGTCGAAGGGCTACGTAAGCCCGAGAGGGACCACCCCTGGAGGTCGCCTCCTCCCCCCAGGAAACCTCAAGGCCAAAGCAACGGGTCCCAGAAGCATCCGTCTGAACTGGGATCCGCCACCGGGTAACCCAGTGGGATACAAGGTACGCTGGGCTGACCAGCTGACTCCCTTCAGTTTGAATCGACCGCATCACTACATGTGTGATTCCTGATGTGTGTCTCAGGTGAAGTATTGGATCTTCGGTGACCCGGAGAAAGACGCCCAGGTCCTTAACGTGAAGACGCCTCAAGCCGAGCTGACTAATCTGTTACCCTTCTGCGATTACGAGACACGAGTTTGTGCCTACAACTTAATGGGAGATGGCACTGACACCAACATCGTCAGCTGTCAAACACTGGAAGACGGTAATGTCTCGAAACTCTGGTACAGATTAAACTTCACATGCAGGATGTTCACTGCACTACAATTTGTCTGGAGAAAGTTGTTTGCGTCCTGTAAGTGGAGTTAAAAGTCACTCGTCTGTTTCCCTGCAGCGCCCGGCGAACCCGGTCGCTTGGCCTTCAACGTCATCAGTCCAACCGTCACTCAGATCAGCTGGGCGGAGCCTGCAGAGACCAACGGCAACATCACAGCTTACGAGGTCATCTACACGCCCATCGATGATGAAATGAGTAAGAGACTCTCCTCAAAGTGCTCAAGCCGTACTGAGACGATCCAGTTCCGGTGTGATACTGTCTTCTCTTTCAACAGATCCAGTCGGAGCAGACAGAAAGGTAAAGATCGACAACCCGAAGAAACGAATGGTGTTGATAGAAAACCTCCAGAGCGGCCAGACTTATCAGTACAAAGTCCGTGCCCAAAACAGCGTAGCCTGGGGCCCTTACAGAGATGCTACCATCAACTTGGCGTCACAGCCCAACAGACCTATGTCCAGTGAGTTTGTACCAAACGCATCTGGTTCTTCAGCCTCACTCCCTCCGAAAGAGATTAACTCCTCTTTGTTTCCGTCCGTAGTTCCCATCATTCCAGATGTTCCTATTGTGGACGCTGAGGCAGGAGATGAATATGACAGCTACCTGATGTA